GAAACTAATAGTAACATTAAGACAGCTTTCTAAAATATGTACAATGCTTCTAATTTATAAAGTTCTTTCAGAACTATTTAATCAAAGCAGGAATTTATAAATGCAAAAACAAACAAACAAACAAACAAAAAACAAACCCAACTTGCCCAGAGATGAAAATGACTAAAGTTGTGAATGGTGGAAATGCAGTTTTAGAAAATACACATTTACAAATAGTAGGGCATGGAATAGGGCTTAACATATTTGAAAAACAGTAAGAGATGACAAGAATAGGAAAAAAAGTGTTTGTTTACATTCTTTAAGTAATATCTCCTTGAAAATATTCTAATTAGATAGTATAAGAAAGCCCTGCCTACACCTGGGTCAGCAAATTACATAACCTATGGGCCCAAACTGGCTACACGCATTCATTTCCTTACTGTCTATGGCTACTTTTGTGGCCAAGGTGAGTAGATGCAACAAAAGACATACAGCTCGCGGAACGAAAATATTTAAAAGTTTGTGGATCCCTGGTCTACTGCAGACTTTCGTCTCTCCTATCTGCCTGAGTAAATCCTATTCTTATTCAAGTTATTTTCAGGTATGCTAGAAAAGAGGCAAATGGGGAAGAGAAGGACAAATAAGGGAATCCATAAAGGGGACAAGAATTTTACCATTCATCTTCTGAACTAATATGGGCACTTTTCAGTGATGTAATTTTTCTTCTGGGAATTCTAATGAGATACTTGCTCATGCTGCATAAAAAGTATCCATTAAATACACATATCCGTGGAGGTCTTGCTCCTATTTTCTGGCATTTTCATATATCTCTGGGGCTATTGATATAAACAGCCTGTCCAAGGATCAAATGGGAAGAAATTAAAGAAGGTTCCTTTCTGGAGCCCATTGGTAGACTTACCTCCGGCAGAGTGAATACATCCTGTTGGAGGCAGTAATTCGAAAATACTCTGGTTTTGAACGGGAAGAGCTGCCACTTATGGTTCCCAAACCTAAACGCTGATAGTCTCTGAAACAAGCTCTTTCTACTAACTGTTCCATTGTAGACTTCTCTGAGGCCTTCAGGGTGGTACTTGTAGGGAGTTCGCTATCATCTGAAACTGTGATGGCAGAGACAAGCTTTGAAGAAATGAATAGCTCAAAGTAAAGGATTTAAAACTTCTTTTTGAAGAGGATCTTTAAAAGAGGTTTACATTAGGGCTACAGGTATTACGTATATCACTGATTAAATCATGCAACATCTGTGAGGAATCATACTCGAACGTAAAGTAAAACAGTAATGGATAGTCAGGAAATCAAATATAAGAAACCTGATTAACTAAAAAATGTCAGGAAATAATACCATTTAAATACTTCCTAAAAATAATATAATTTTGAATTCATTACCCATATTTTTCTGTTTCATTACGGCTTGCTTATTAATGTGAAATTACAGTGATTTCTACTTAGAACTCTTAAAAACACCCAAATGTTGTCAGGGGCTAACTTGTCAGTAAAATTTATCTTTAATATGATCACTACGAAATTCATCACCCAGGTTTCGGTTTATTTTTCAGAGCATAAACGTTTATTAGAAATTTCTAGATTAATCAGAAGTTCAGAAGTTCACCAGAATGAAAAAGAGTTTTCTTAGGGAGGTATAAAGAAATTCTACTTTTTTCCTGGAAATATTTTTGTTAGGGGATGTTGTATACATGGGAAACTCCCTCACACTTTTGCAATCACATGTTACAGAATCCTTTAAGATTTTAGATATGAAAGAATTTACTCAATAATCAAGTATTTTAGGGAGGATTTTCTTTTTTTTTAAAGGACATTCCTAATTGGGACTGCATGTTCTAACTACAAAAAAAAAAAAAATTCCATGTTAAAAATGTCCTAATTTACTTTCCTACTTATTTTTAAAATGAGAGATGTGCAAGGGAAAGATATGGCTCTCTTTCATGAAAATTAAAGAAAAAAAGAAAAAACCAACAGTTTATCCTGACAAATATAAGACTTTGAGTTTCAATTTGTGAACTTCATAATTCAACATAATCAGGCATCAGTTTTGTATTGCTGTTTTATTTTCAGAGAAGCAAAAATATCATATAATTTGGTCTTTTGGGGGAATAACTATCAAAGAATAATAGTTTTTGTCTCATGAAGTCATAAAAATTTCAAGTTGGAAGAGTCAATCATGATGGATAGCAGTAATTTTTTTATGGCTTTCCATATGACTGTGAGGAGGCCAGGGTTCCAACTAATAGACATTTCAGTATCGTAATGGTGGGTCTTTTAATTGTCCCCAGAGGCAAGCTTGTATGTACACATTCTCACACAGGGTATGCATATATACACACAAAACCACACACGTTTCTTTATCCCAACGAACTCAAACGGAGACCTTACAACCAACGTTCTCTCTAAAGATGAGGTTTCTTTTTTTAAGATGATGTCACAGGGTATGCATATATACACACAAAACCACACACGTTTCTTTATCCCAACGAACTCAAACAGAGACCTTACAACCAACGTTCTCTCTAAAGATGAGGTTTCTTTTTTTAAGATGATGTTAGTAGTAGTTGTTTTATAATCACTGGTGATTGATTCTAAGATTCTGAGAAGGAAAAGTGTGTAATGGCATTTTGCTAACCATTAGATCAGATTCTTTGTCATGTTAAATTTAATAATACATTTTCCTACTAGCTTTCTGTCTCTATTTTCCTAACTGAGAGGTATCTCAGATGCCCAAATTCTGTTCTTTTATTAAATACTTAACAGGAGTTATTTTCTTATCATTTAAGAATTCCTTCATCGTAGGTCCCCTGCTTTGGTGAAGAGCACCCACAATGTTCTTACCAAAAACACAAATCTTCAACTTCAAATATTCAATGTCCTTACTTCCTTATTCTTATTACATTTGTAAGGTACCGGGGACTATCTTATACCCAAATTCTCTGTGCAGCAGGGTTTCCTTCTTTTACCCTTTAATGAGACCCACATAAAATGGCCAATTAGCTGTATGAATTTAGTAAAGGAGAAGTATAATTTAACAAAATCTTACCAGAACAATGGAATATTGGGAAAAATAATTTTTCCCCGCAGTTCTGAGAAGCTAGTAAATGCTTCTAATCTTCTCATGAAATCTAGGTTTTTGTGAGTCGAGGTGTAAATGAAAGTACATTTTAGTTTCTTATTCACATGAGAAGAAAGAATAAAATTGAAAGATGAAAGAAAAATGAGTTCTCACATACCAGATATGTCATCTTCGTCATTCCATCCAGGACGATTTACTCTCTCTTCCACAATTGTTCCTGTCCTCCTCTTCAATAAATACTGCCGTCCAATTGTCATTTTCCCTGCCCTTTTGGCACCTTTCACAATTGTTTTTGAGAATGTGCTACAAGTCAGAAACCAAAGAGAATGGCAATTTAATATGAAGGTACCACTTATATTTCTGACACCTACATAGCTCAAATTGTTCTCCATTCCCACAGCCACTAGTATTGCCCACACTTTCAGTAAGCCTGTCCTTTTTCAGATAACTTTTTTATATGGCAGTAGACTAATTTCCTATAAAACACCTTCATCATCAGGGAATTGCAAAAAGTACAAGAACCTGATATAATATGACACAAGCTACTTATCACCCCAAATCTAAACTCCTCTGATTGGCTTTCTAGTCAAGCATGCCCTGAACCCACTCTGGTTATCCATCCCATTGCCTCCACCACAGTTGCCACAAATCATGCTCGTAGAAATCCTCCTACATGGAAAGCCAGCCTGCCCCCTTCTCCACTGATTCAAACTCTCTTTCCACTAACTCACAAGTCCTTTTTTGAGATCGAAACACAATTATAGCTGGCAATGCCTTTACTTATTTTTTAAATGTCTTAAGTGTTTATGTGTGGTGTCCTGCCTCTAACTGACTATAAACCTTCTGAGATATAGAAAAAGAATAACATAATTTCTCTTCTTGAGAGGAGAAAAATAAGAAACCAGAAATTTAAGTATTCTTTTGAGAATCAGCTATAATTAAAGAGAAACCAGAATGTAAAGAATTTGGACCTAAAAGGTACTTTATTTATTAAAACAGTTTACCCTTTCTTGCTGATAGAAAATCTCTGCTGGGTATTTACAATCCAGAGAATTAAACAAAGAACTTATTAGTTATTTCCTAACTAATCAGATGGAGGTAAAGATTTTGAGAAAGATTGTTCTTGATTATGCTCTTCTCTACCACAAAGAACAGAACTTTTTTTGTGTTTTCTTGCCATTTGATAAAAAGTGATAAGGATTCTTCTACCATCAAACAGTTTTGCCAAACCCTGTCTTTAGTCATCTGCAATTAAACCTGAGGCTTATGAAACATGTTTTAGATAACTGTTGGGAATCATAAAATACTGATTTTTAATATTAATTCTATTGTAAATGACTTCAGATGTAACTTAAACTCAATGGGATTTTTGAAAAATTTTCCCAGCTAGAGCTATATCTTTTGTTTCACATACTTGAGGCAATTCTTAAATTTTTTAAACTGCTATATTTCTGTTGCAGCTGATATAACAGCTTGGTACAGATATATATTTCTGAAACTAATATAAACATATATATATTTCTGATAGTTTCTAAAACTAAAACACCATATAAAGCTTTGTTTCTTCTACAGAGGGCCGGGATAACAAACATCATAGGCTACTCTGTTGACCCTATAGTGCTAAGAGGCTTGGCTCACCATTGTAAACCCTTAGGAGACTGTTCATTCTTCAGCATATCATACATGGATATTCACGGTCTCCTTCACTTGCCAGGTAATACGGTGGCTAACTATGCAACTAAAAAATGACATACTGCCTGGAACCTCAAATCTTCTGTAATCCCCAATCTATCCCACTTTCAGGCAAAGGAAAGGCCTTTTCTCCAAAGTCTGCAAAGATCTCCCTAATATGTAATTTAGGCAGATGTCCAAATTCCAGGGAATTAATAGTGAATTAAATGAAATTTTAGCCCCTATATTTTATCTCTGGTGGAAGAGAATTTTAAAATAATTGCTATTTTGTCCCTTTTCTCCAAAGTCTGCAAAGATCTCCCTAATATGTAATTTAGGCAGATGTCCAAATTCCGGGGAATTAATAGTGAATTAAATGAAATTTTAGCCCCTATATTTTATCTCTGGTGGAAGAGAATTTTAAAATAATTGCTATTTTGTAATAACTGAAATTTAAAAGTTTCAACATAAATTCCCCAAAACTTTCATCAGAAAATAGGGTTTGTACTAAAGAAATATGACAACTAAATGTAATGTCTGATCCTGAATTGAATCCTGAACCAGAAAAAAAAGTAGCTATAAAGAATCATCAGCAAAATTTGAATAGAAACTGTGAGTTAGATAAGAGTTTACGTCAATTAAATTTCCTGATTTTGATTACTGTACTGTAATTATATAAGATAATGTCTTTGTTCTTAGAAAATACATATTAATGTGTTTAAGGACAAAGGGGCATTTTGTATATAACTCAAATGGTTCTGAAAAAAATATGTATGACAGAGAATGACAAAGCAGATGGACCAAAATAGAAACCACTGGTAAATATGGGTAAAGGATACATAGGAATTCTTTGTTTTACTGTTATACATAAGTTTGAAATTGTTCAAAATAAAATGTTATAAAAAAAGAAAAAAGAAAATAAGGCCCCTGTCTCTGGATGAAAGCAAAACTGTCTATTAGGGCTGGATATTAATAAAAGCTGAAGGGATAGCTCAAAGGCAGTTAGAAAGTGATCAATACGGGTAACGGAAAATAGAATTTCACATCCTAAAAATGCACCTCAGCAATGGACATCATAGTCAAAGCCTCTTAGACCTTTTAGTTTTTGAAACTCATTACATATGTCAATGCTGCTATTCCATAACTTTTCGAGCATGGTTCAGTGGGCTTGACAGAATGGTGAACAAAAGGAGCAATCACTTACACACTGACACAAAATATAAGTCACTTCCTCTGACAATCAGATAAGGGAGGGCTCAAATTAAGAGAGCTGTCTTTCTTCTTACCGAAAGGAAGTGTTCTTTTCCTTCTGTTTGGGTAAAATTATTTGCGGGGTAGTTTGTCCAGCAGCAAAAGCAAAGGTGCTGAAAATGGACTGAGGATAACGGAACTTCATCAGCTGTTTCTTAAAAATCTCTACTACTTCTGGACTGACTTCTTCATCAAATGCTACTTTAATCAACTAGAGACAAAAGAGATTACGCATATCAGAAGCATTAAGGATTTCTAAACAACTATCCCCCAAATTATTGAAATAACAGAAAATAAAAATACCTAATGGCAAGACTTTGAAAGTTGAAGGGATTTTAGATAATACACAATTTAATTTTTTAATTTAAAAAATAAAGCGAGACTCAGGTTTTGTCACCATAGATGATTAGTTGGCAAGGAAGATCATCTATCAAAAAGTTGGTTTTCTTTAAGACGATTCTGTGATGGGATAGAGACTTAACTGATAGTGGGTGAAGTAGCAAACACAGCCTTCTCATTTCTCAACCTCTGGTTATAGATAGGGAATTTGGCATTAGGTTCCTTTCTACCCAGAGATACCACAAATCAAGGAATTAAAAAAAACATCAGTTTGACTAGAATTCTAATCACTATGTCAGGCAATATTTGAGTGTAGAGTTTTTTGGCAGTTGGAACAGTGAATCCCTAGGTGGTCAATGCTCTCAGGAGACAGGAGGTCTGGAGCCTAAGGATCAGCAGCCTCAAATTTTATGCAGTTAGCACAGCAGCTACTAGGGAAGGCTCCTTGATAGAAGGAACGAGGAAAGAATTGGAATTGTTGGAAATTTGAAAAGTCAGAGAGAAGGCATGAAGAATAGGAAAAGCAAAATATTACAGACAGAATTTTTTTTTGACTGGTAAGGGATTGCAACCCTTGGCACAGTGTGGTCCACACCACACTCAGCCAGTGAGCACACCAGCCATCCCTATATAGGATCCGAACCCGCAGCCCCGGTGCTACCAGCGCTGCACTCTCCCGAGTGAGCCACAGGGCTGGCCCTACAGACAGAATTTTTAAAAATGGAAAAACTAAGAAAAGATCACTTCTTCCAGGGTCTGGTGTGCATCAGTAATTCTAGAAGTTCAGATATGCTCACAGCCCCCTGGAAAAACCCTTGCTTTATTGGGGGTTATTCAGTTAGTAACAATAGTACTTTAGCCCTAGCTATACTTCTTGGAGTTTTGCCTCTTCCATAGAAGAGCCATAGGCATTTCCTTCTGAAACAGATGCCAAGAGAATTGCTTTTTATCTAAAGTCTTTATAAAACAGGAACTGAGGTATAACTTGGCAGAGAACAAGAGTCAATTGTGTGTGTCTGAGTTTCTAAGATCACTAAGTATTGACAGATAATCTGTTTCTACTCTGAGTTGGCGAAGGGGCTCCTGAAATGAAGGATTAAAAAGACTATTCATGAGGTTACTCAGCTGAAGATTACCCTCTCAGACCCTCTAATCCTCCTCACCCTCTAACTTCTGACTACATGAAACACAAAGTGGCCATGACATCATTAGATTTGCAGAAAACTTTTGAATAGTAGAAAAATTGCTTCCTTTCTTGATACCTGAAAACATGCTGATGTGATCTGCAGTCCTTCTTGCATGTTCTGCTGTAGCTGGTTCTGCATTGTGATCTTCTTTTCCTTGGTGACGGAGGCAATGGGAAAACTCCGCACAACCGTCTGCTCACCAACTGTAGGAAGACAGGACAGACTCAGCAACTTTATAGCTCTTATCTAGAGTCTCTGCTGCTCACTTCATCAGCCTCTGCTGGAGAAATGTATCTGGAGAGGACAATGCCCAGGAATGCAGTCAGAGAAAATGCCATGATTCTAGAATCTCATTCATTAATTTTTTTGCATGGTCATTCATCCCTGAGACATATCCTTTCCCAGAGTGAAGTATCTATCACAGCCTGCCTGCCTTAGTTCTTTCTATCTCCCCAACTTACTGTCTGCCACACAAAATCACCTGGTTTAAGGCAATCTTATAGGAAAAGTAGGTTTTATACAGAAAAAAGAAGTATCCTCAAATATTAAAAAGACACCTAAGATATTTAATGTAAGAATAAAGCAAAAGAGAACAGGTTTTTAAAGTTTGTTTTCATATGTGGCAAAAGGTTCTGTACTATATATATGTACCTTGGAAGAAAGGACTGGACTTAGGCCCAAGATTTTTAGGAGTTTAAATATTAAAGCAGGAATGAAAAAATATAAATATTTATCAACTACCTGAGGTTATGAAGATGAGAGTCCAGAAAAGAAAGAATACACACAAAGTCTCCCTTGGAGAGTTTCCAGTTCCCCAGGGGAGGAGAGTCACATATAGAATAATAATAACATGGAATTAGCTCCTAGGTTTGAGGGAACAGACTACAAGGATTTGAGTATTTCCAAAAAGGAGAAGATCTCTGCATGCTAGATGAACAGAGAATTACTCCTGGAAGAAGTAAGAGGGAAGGTGAGCTTTGAAGAGAGTATAGGATTTGGATTAACAGAGGAGAAAAGGGAGGCCATTTTAGGCAGTGGTATAGATAACATAAAGGAGCATCAATGAATAAGGGCTCACAGCTAGTAAGCTAGAGGAAGTGAGACTTGAACTAGGTTTATCTGACTTAAGAGCCTATAGATTTATCCATTTATTATCACCAGAATTCCTCAATCCCTGGATCTATCAATCCCTAACCTGGAAAGTTCTGACTATACTCTTATGTCAAGTTCGTACCCAAAGGCTAAGCAAAGTCAGGATGTACATAGGATCTAAGTCTTAGGATGCATTAAACAACCTATGCTTATATAACACATGTAAAATTATCACATTTCTGTGTGTCTTTAAAGCAGAATTTTTAAATTAGCAATTTAAAAAGAAGGGCTGGCTGGTTAGCTCAGTCACTGGGAGACATGTTTAGCAGTTAAATACTGTGAATATTCCTAAGTCACAATTCTCAGCCTCATGAAATTGACTGTTTCAGCAAATGAACCCTCAATTTATTGTTCAGAAGACACCCTTTGTTCTTCACGTAAAAATCTATGACCCAACTTCTCATTACTTTTGACAGACAAAAGTATATTCCCCCAAATTCCCCAAAAATTTGTGATGAAAAGCTTATTTAGGATTTGGAACACTCTGCAAGTCACTGTGCAACTGCATCAAAACCTCATGTACCACACAGATGTCTGTGTTTTGATGGCGTGAGTCCTACCTAGCTGATCATGGGGAGTCCCCCTGAAGAGAATTCGGTATGTGGTGAGGAACAAAGCTCCTTCTGCTGGCAGGAGCTGAGGGCCTCCAAGACCTCCAGTGGCTTCTTCTCTTCCATCAGGATCCAGTAGGACTCGAAGACCTTCACATACAATTTCTTCTCCTGGCAGTAGAGCAGGTCTAAGAATCTTGGGCTAACAACAAAAAAAAGTATTTTAAACATAACTCTTTGGGGGTTTCCAACACTTGGACCAAAGTTATCTTTTCAGTTACAGACCTAGAAAACTTGAGCCAGACTTTGCAGAATTGGGAAGAGGCAGAAATGAAGTTTCTGCATCCAAATATGAAAATATTCTTTGCAGCATTGCTTATTAACAGTAAAATAATCAGTAAATAACTCAAATGTTTGAAATATTCATACAATGAAACATTTGCAACCTTTAAAAAAAAATGACACAGGTCAATATTTGTTAACATAGAAAGATATCCAGAGTACACTGTTAAGTAAAAAAAGCAAGTTGCAAAATGAGTAAGTATATTATGATGCATTTTTGGAAAAAAAAAAAATTCTAAGACTATGAACCAAACTGTTAAAGGTGGTGTGATCATGGTTAAGGGTGGAGCTGGGAAGGCTACCAGGGACTTTCACTTTGTACAATGTGTATTCCTTTTATACTCGAATTTTATACAAGGAGCATTACTACTTGTAAATTAAAAAAACAAAGAATGAGTTTTTAAAAAGACCTAATCCTTCTTGGCCAAGTAATGAACACTCACGCATCTTGGAAAATCCTGACTCGGTATCCTTTATATGAGGAACCACATGATACACTCCTCTGAAGAGTTTAGGGCTAGGAAAAAAATATATTTCTCCTGGAGGTCTAACATGTTTCTTTTTTAATAAGCAATAAAAACTACATAAATCAGCACTATTCTCTTTGCTTACTCTAGGAAATTAGAGCTAAATGTAAAGCCAAAGTATAGTGATCACAGTGTCTCAGGTTTCTGACAGAATTATCTTTCCTATCTGTCTGGCTTCTGATTTCTCCTTTGAATTTATTTTCAATAGTTTTGTTAAATAGGCAAGAGGGTACTGAACACTAGTCCACAGACTGGTGCCAGACTAGCTTCAAAATAATCATTTGGGAGGCTTGTTAAAATACAGGTTTCCAGGCCATGTCTGAGGGTACTCCAGTTCAGGAGGCTGGGGTGGGGTTCAGGACTCTGAATTTTTAATAGACTTTCTAGCTGCTTGTGATGTACAGCCAGATTCAGAAACTTGGTGTTTTTATGGTAATCGCTTTAAATCCTTTTTTTTAGAAGTAGTCAGGGCATAAAATCTTAGGTTAGGCTTGGAAGTTAAAACTGTTCATAATTTATACCCTTCCTATAAAAGTAGACTCAATAAGAGGTTATTATTGCTCCCTTTGTTGAAGCCAAGAAAGGATACTATTCCTATTTCAGTATCCTTTTTATAAGGTTCTACATGACAAACTCCTCTGAAAGTTTAATGTGTCATTAAAACTGGAGCTGGTCTCTGTAAAAGGTTAGGAGAAGGTACTTCCTGGAACATAATAGCCTATTGTTGCTGCTTTTAAGAAGAGACACTATATCCTGAAAGCATGTAGTCTGGAATAATTACCTTCTGTATAGGTGGAAGTCTTCTACTTTCTCGATGCACTGCTTCTAGGGTCTCAATGTGCATAGCTACAATTCCTAGGAGGAATCAGAGTTTTCAAAATGAAAGAGCACATAACGAGCAGAATGAAAACAAATTCTAGATATTTCAGAATTAAAAATGAATCAAAGCTTGGTGGTTTCTTAAAAAGTTAAACATAGGGCCGGCCCGGTGGCGCACTGCTACAGTGCGCCTCTTGGGACACTGCTACAGTGCGCCGCTTGGGAGTGCGGTGGCGCTCCCGCCAAGGGTTTGGATCCCACAAACAAACCGGTTCCCGCTCACTGGCTGAGCAAGGGGCGGGTGCAGCACCGAGGGTTGCGATCCCGTTGCCGGTCCCGGTCCGGTACGGGCGCGACACTGAGGGTTGCTGTCCGTTGCCGGACACGAAAAAAGACAAAAAGAAAAAAAAGAAAAAAAAAAAGAGTTAAACATAGAATTACCATAAGACCTAGCAATTCTACTCCTAGGTATTTACCTAAAAAAGCTGAAAAGAAGGACTCAAACAGATACTTGTCTGGGAATATTCATAGTAGCATTATTCATAATAGCCAAAAGGTGAAAATAACCTGTGCTCATCAATGGATAAATGGATAAACAAAATGTGGTATGTTTATATAATGAAATATTATTCAGCCATAAAAAAGAACAAAGTTCTGATATATGCTACAACATAAATGAACTGTGAAAAAATTATACTAAATGAAATGTCAGACATAAAAGTACAAACACTGTATAATTCCACTTACATGAAATACCTAGAATAGGCAAATTCATAAAGACAGAGAGTAGATTAGAGGTTACCAGGGACTGGGGGGTGGGGAAACAGGAGTTATGGCTTAATCGGTACAGACTGTCTCTTGGGGTGATGAAAAAGTTTTGGAAATAGACAGTGGTAATGGTTGTACAACATTACGAATGTAATTAATATCACTGAATTGTGCACTTAAAAATGCCTAAAATGGCAAATTTTATGCTATGTACATTTTACCAGAATTTAAAAACATTTTAAAACAACTCATCAGAAAATAAACTACACAGAAGACAAGTATTATGGGTTTTATGCTGAAACTCAATTATTTCCAATATTCTGATTCTTTATTATTCTCCATTATCCAGGCAAAATGATTACCTGGTATCATGCAGTGAAGGCTCTTGATGTGATCCTGAGTAACTCCACTCTCTGTACAAACCTTGTCAATAAATCGGGTAATGAACCGCACAACAGAGTTGGCAATGTCATTATTCTCTGAATCTTCAAACCCACTCTCTGTATCATAGCTCTCAGCTACACTTCCTGCAATACTGAGAAAGTCAAGGAAAGAAATCATGGTCAGTACTGAAATGCAACAAATGACTACTATATCACAGTCAACTTACATAGCAATTTAAACTTGCTTAAAGAGATGTATGCTGAAGTAGTAGGATCACTTAACTCCATGGTTCCTTCATAAATGATAGCAGTGAAACACAATGTTCTACTTGCCTACACTTGGAAGCATTTCAGGCTTTATCCTTTCGACCCAGATTTGTTTCTGTAAGTGATCTTCTGTCAGTCTCTCAAAATGAACTCAGGAACCACAGAGAATAAAGCAAAAGGGGACTCTTTCATTAATTATCTGCTACTTGAACTTTCTAAAAAAAAAACTTGTTCTTCCAAATTAATTACTAGATAGAGCCAGACAAAGTAATATGGCTATATTTGGCAACCAGGGAACATGTTCCCTGGTAGGCAAAGTAAAATAATTTTTTTCAGCAGCTAGCCTATTCTTCCCTCATGGGAGGAACACAGTGTCAGTATTCATCTCTCTCTGAGTGCATCTAAACACTTTTGGCCACTTTGAAGCTACCGTTCTTCTGTAGGTGATAAAATCATACAAGAGAAGGGAACACATTTGAAATGGAGCAGATGGGAAAGCTCAGTCCCATCCCTCGTAGTGTATTCAGTTCCCATTATACAACAAATCAGACTTCTAATTATGGAAAAGACTCATTTGCCTGTTCTAACCTACTCACTGCTGTTTCCTTCAAAGCCAACCACACTGGCTGAATTGGTGTTACAGTAGAGCTAAGCAGAGAATGTATGGCCATCATACAAAGCATTAAAGAATTTAGGTGCCATAGCCACTCACTGTGAGAGAGCATAGTCATCTATAATGGAGACTTTTTGAAAAAAGGAAAATATGGTTATTGATGGTCATAATGGAAATTAACTTGACTGGCAGTGGGAGATAAAGTTAAGGACAGACTAAGAAAGATCTTCAACATCAAGTAGATGAGTCCAGAATTGAAAAAACAGTCTTGTGGGATTATGAGCAGTAAAGTACTGTAAAAGCATCATTTCAGGAAGATTCCTTTGGCAGTAGGGCAGATAACCATAGAAAGAGGAATAAAAAAAATGAAACAACTAAGAGACTATTATAACAATTATGGGGGACGGCCCAGTGGTGCACTGCTACAGTGCGCCGCTTGGGAAGTGCGGCGGCGCTCCTGCCGAGGGTTTGGATCCCACATGCAGACCGGCCGTTCACTGGCTGAGCGAGGAGCGGGGGCAACACCGAGGGTTGCGATCCCGTTGCCGGTCCCAGTCCGGTGCGGGCGCGACACTGAGGGTTGCGATCCGTTGCCGGTCACGAAAAAAAGACAAAAAGACAAAAAAAAAAAAAAAAAAAAAAAAAAAAAATTTTGG